TTTGCTGCCTTTATCGCTCTCCCTCGAACCATAACTGGGATGACCTACTCGAATACCTCGCCGTCCAGATCGACTTCCTGAACATCAATCACCCCGCTTCAGATGTAGTTCTTCTCGGTGATTTCAATGCCCATAATGAGCTTTGGTTGGGCTCAAACAAGACCGATGCAGCAGGTCGTGCAGTCGAAGCGTTCGCTCTTACTCAAGGGCTAACCCAGCTGGTGACGAGCCCTACTTTTTTCCCCCGCGTCTCGTCACACGACAGTAGCCTGCTGGATCTCTTTCTGACCACGCATCCTGCCCCTTACAGCACTGCTGTCCTGTCCCCCCTGGAAAACTCGGATCACGGTGTTGTGGAGGTTAGGCTTCGGTCAGAAGCCGCTGTGGCAGCAGAAACTCGTACAGGCCGCAAAACTTGGCATTACGGACATGCCGACTGGGAGGGGCTCAGAGACTTCTTCTCTAGCTTTCCTTGGAGAGATGTCTGTTGCACTGACGCGGATACGTGGACTGTCTGTTCTTCAATAACCGAAATTATCCACGTCGGAATGGAGGAATACATCCCTCACACAGTGAAAGTTCCTAAACCAGGGTCCAACGGCTGGTTCAACAAATCGTGTGACACTGTTCTCTAGCAGAAGATCAAGGCCCACAGAACCTACTTACAAAACCCCACTGTAGAGAACAGACAAGCCGACGTCGAGTCCAGAAACAAATATAACGAAGCGGTTCGCAATGCCAAAAACCAGCATGATATAAAAGGTAGGCACAGGGTAATTTCGCAGCGCAATGGCAGTCGATCTTTCTGGACGCTGGCCAAGCAGATTGAAAAGAACTTCTCACATAGTAGCCTTCCACCACTTACGTGTCAGGATGGAACTATTGTATTCGACTCAAAGGCCAAAGCCGAAGTGCTAGCCAAGATCTTTGCTGCCAACTCCACCATGGACGTCCCCACCAACGCCCAAGCGCCGTCAATTCAAAGGGTTCCCCACACTATGCGGGAGGTAACATTCAGGCATAAGACCGTAAGACGAGTGCTCTTGTCGCTCGACATCAACAAAGCTTCTGGTCCGGACTTGATTCCTGCCATTGTACTGAAGAGATGTGCAGCGGAGCTTGCTCCAGTTCTTTCGCGTCTCACCCAGATATCTTATGAATCCGGCACCTTCCCAGAAAACTGGAAATTTGCTCATGTACAGCCCATGCCAAAAAAAGGATCTAAGGCCGACCCTTACAACTACAGACCTATAGCTCTGCTTTCTGTTATAAGTAAAGTGCTGGAGAGGTGCATAAATCGCGAGCTTCTGGACTACCTCGAACGTCACAGCTTGATTAGCGACAGGCAGTTTGGTTTCCGGCACCAACGATCCACAGAGGACCTCCTAGCTTACGTCACGCAATTGTGGAGTAAACTCATCCAGTCTCATGGTGAGGCTCATGTTGTTGCTCTTGACATCACGAAAGCGTTCGATCAGCTGTGGCACGCTGCCCTCTTAAGCAAACTTCCATCCTACGGCCTCCCAGAAAAGCTTTGCAGATGGGTGGCTGACTTTATCTCTGGCCGCAAGATGTCCGTCGTAATTGACGGATTCTCCTCTTCATCCCACAACGTCAACGCGGGTGTTCCCCAGGGATCGGTCTTGGCTCCAACACTGTTTCTCTTACATATCAACGACCTCCTTCCCTGTACGATCAACCCAATCCACAGCTTCGCTGATGACAGCACTCTACATGCAGGAATTCAGAGTGACAAGCCGATCTCTGCCGCTGAGCTGGAAAAAAGAAGACTAGCGACGACTTCCTCTCTGACAAGAGACCTGGAGGCTATCACTGCTTGGGGACGCAACAATCTTGTACAGTTCAATGCTTCCAAAACACAGTACTGTACTTTGAAGAACAAAAAGCGTCCTAGAGCTCCTACAGTTTCGATGGACGGTCAAGTTCTACCAAAGAGCCATTCATTTCGGCTGGTCGGAGTACAGATCACCGAGGACCTGATCTGGCACGAATACATCTTTTCAATAGCTGCAGCTGCTGGGAAAAAGCTAGGCTATTTGTTTAGGGCTAAGAAGTACTTTTCTCCGCATGACCTTCTCACTCTATACAAGGCCCAGATGAGGCCTAGCTTCGAGTATGGCTCACACATTTGGGGTGCTGCCGTCCCGACTACATTGTCCATGCTCGATGCTGCTCAGAGGAGGGCGGTCCGACTGATCGATGAGTCTTCTCTAACAGACAGACTCGGGACTCTTTCGCACCGGCGGGTCGTCGGCGATCTAGCTCTAGCTCTATCGCTACACCAACAGGCTTTGCTCCTCAGAGCTCTCTTCCATGATGCCGCCGCGCGATGTGCCTGCCAGATAGAGCCGCCTGACTTCGGCGTCCCATCCTAACCGTGTCAAGCTTCGTACATCCAGAACTGGCCGTTACGACCGCTCCTTTGTCCCGAGGGTGTCTAGATTGTGGAACAATCTACGGGAGGAAGCTTTTCCCAGTTCTACTAACCTTAGGCAGTTCAAAAATCGTATTAACAAAATTTCTTTGGGATCATCATAGCAGCCGCGGTGTTCCGGCATTTAGGCTTCTGCCTGCGCGGCTGTTTCGATATAAAAAAAAAGATATAATGCCTATATTAATACGGCATCAATTACTGAGCACTTTATTCAAAAGAATAGTGCATTACTTACCTGAGAGATAATTTTAGAAAGCGGGACTTACCTTAAACAATGCCTCAATGAGCCGTATTCATAAAACAAAGGATATCCTTGTACTTGCAAATTTTGAAGGAAATCCTCCAGATGGTATTTATAATAATTTGAAGTAAATGCTTTTGCTTTTTGAGTATAAGCATATCCTTCAAAGCAGTGACATGAGTAAAAGTATATTCATAATCTTCACCTTATACTTGGCATAGGAAGCATATCCTTCAAAAATTCTGAGTGTGGTGAGTAGCAGACTCAACTTCGTAACGAAAGTTTTATTTTCATGAACATCGTAAGTTACAGGTGGCTTCTGACGCTGCATCATTTCTAATTTCGTTTTATAATACTCTTGTTGTAAAATACTTGTTTGGTACTGCTGTTATAGCACTAGACGTTGCAGTTCTTTTGCAGTTAACCCTTTGGCTTCCTCAGTTTTGTATGTCTCTGTTGCTAATTTTCTTTTTGGTGGCAATATCTTCTGGATTGCTGTCGCTGTAATACTAACCGTTTGCTCACTGCGCTCGGTACATAGTTCACTTCCTTCTTCTTGAACACTACCAGCCTGAATGGCGCCTCTAATTTTTCCAATTGTAGGATTACAGTCACCTTCCATAGCTTTCCGCAACTTTCTTTCTCAATCTATAATTTAACTGCTTTATTACCAGTTTTTTTATCTGTTTTGTTCTTCAATCTCGATTTCAAGTTGATTATTTTTTTTTAATAAGCCTTTAGTATCTATAGGTTTCCCGAATGTTGATTCGTATCTTTTCAACATCTTCTTCAAGGCGTCGTCCTATCTCATTTTTATTTTTGGAACTTGTGACATTTGCAAAATAATGGGAGCAATGGCAATTTCATCTGCGATGAACTGCAGGTCGTTGCCATTATTTTTTATAGTTTCCTCATCACTTGAGGATGACAGGCTTATTAATTTGTTAAAAAACTGTATCCAGTAAAAGTAGGGAACGGTCTGTGTAAGCTCTGGAGTACAACTCTCAGTGATGCTGAGTGAACGAACTCCCACGTCAACTACAAGCTGGAACATGTCAGGACATGTCGCTCAAGATACAAATACCAGTCGACCTTTTATTTCTTCTTGGAGGATATCCTCGCGAGTATAAGGTAATCATTATGAATATGAAAACAAGGATATGTTTATACATCTACTTTTTTCTTACCTTATGCTTCCGAGGATATGCTTCTCTTTTATGAATACGGCTCGGTGTCGATTGTCGAATAAATTGCCATTTAACGTTGTAATTTGTAGATGTATAAGCTCAAACACACAGCCTCTGTGTGTGCGCGACATTTATGCAAAGTATTGGCGAGCATATTTATAATAAAAGTATTTCAGTATGCACGTAACGTATGTAGGCTTCTTGGGGAAAAAAAGAACACTGGATAGTCTTTATTTTACTTGTAGCCAGGACTGCTGCTCAGCTGTCCAGTCACAAAAGTTTCCAGCTCTTACACGAAGAGTCATGGGACTAAAATTGCCGTAGATCCACAAAATAAACTTTAGTTTGGTCATAGTACACTCCATTCCGACTCTTTTAACTGAATTGAAGAATAAATGTTATTAGGTTCAACTACCATATGCTAGAATAATAAACATATGTATCTCAATACATATTATTCATGTTTAGTGTTATTGGCAGCACCACAAATGTATCAGCTGTCAAGAGTAGAGAGAAAATGAATACTAGTGTTGGGGTTGGGAGGATTCGTTCGCAAATATAATATATAATATGTATAAATAAATTGGTTACAAGCATGAACGAACTCTTTGGTTGATGTATTTTGACCAAGTTCGACAGTCGCCTAACAATCGATCTGACATCTCGCTCCTGACACTGAGTTTTTTTTGAGCTTGTGTTGATGTGATTTGAGGTAGTGGTTTTCAATAAAGCAAGTAGGTAGTAAGTTTAATTAAATTTAATCCGAATATAAGGTAGTAGTTTTTAATATAGTAAGTAGGTAGTAAGTTTAATCCAGTTTCATCCGGATAGTTTCGGTGTCAGATTATTATAAGTAACCTGTAAGTAAAGTCACTGTTGTGTTCATCCTCATCAAACTTTGAGGTGGAAGTTGTCCAACAGCATCGTAAGAGTCGTACTAGGAGGCCCAGAATCTTTGTGTTGGGAATCCGAATTCTTTGAATTATCTGAATTCGAATACATGGGTACGCCATCTCTAGCCGACAAATAAGCACAAGAAATTCCTATTTTACATTTTACTGTCTTATTACAGACCTTTTTGTTGTATAAATTCTTATCTCGTTTCTACCATTTTTTCTAAAATTGCATAAAGCAAAGGCAACATATACATTTGTCTGAACCAGATAAAATATTTGTAACTCAGAACCATTTCTATTTACCTTGAAGCACGGTATGCGGACCAGGTACAGCAGCAAAAACATGTGATAATGGAAGATTATTGAGGAGTTTGTTGAAATCTAAACCTAATTATTAATTTGATTGATTTCTGATCAGGAGTATACTCAGACGTGTTTATGGAGGCCTAACAACGTATTTTTTTCACATAACTTTCAACGGTTGGATTTTTCTGAAATATTGATTAACTACTCACCTAGCCCTAGGTAACGTACAAAATTGTTGAAATAAAATCATTATTGCTGGGTGTTCCAGTATATTAATTGGATTGAAAATAGAGCTTTATTTCTAATAATCATATTTTTCTTAACATCTATCTATTACGTGACGACTTAAAATTCCATCCCTTACTCCATTAACATTTCATTAAGCTCAACTATATCTTCTATCATAATATCCCTATACATAGGACAACTATCAAATGCTTCTGCCATATATCTACTGCGCTCTTCGAAAATGAATTTTGAGAAGGCTCCTTCAGACTTGCTTGCCTCCAGATACACCTCGTCTGGTATAAGTGTTATACTACGGTCCACAACTGCTTGGATCTTAGCTGGGATCCTAAAAACAAAGAAATGGAAAAACTGTCACTAAGCTTCAAAACATCGTGATGTATATATTAAAGTGCTCCTCTTTTGTGTTAGGCTAACCTTGTTGGCAATGGCCTATCTATCTTCACCATGTGTTGAGTTAGAAAATGATTCTTCTATTCTTTGGAATGTGGTCATGTCCATTAGGAGCAAAAAAAATAAGCTTTGATTTTTTGCGTTGATTTCTAATTAGCTCTGTTAAAAAGTGACATAACCATTACTAAAACTAACCATTTAGCTCATCTCAGAAAAAAAATCACAGCCCCAAACCTAATGGTTTAGTTGCAATTACGATTGAAAGTTCATTATCCCGTTTTTTTTTTTTGAAATTTCACAAAATTGCAAATATCTCCTGAGCTATCAAATTTCGGACCACACATACAGGGTGTTTCAGTTTATTGTTACATAACTTTAAGATTCGATAGAACCTGTAAAATTAATGCATAAAGTCTATATAAACATGGGTCGAAAAACTCGTGGCTTCCTAAATACAGGGTGTTTAAATTTACTTTCTAAAATAGTTTTTTTTTTAATATTTCGAACAATACTTGATGTATAACAGTGAAACTTGGTATACAAGGGTTTTTTGGTACGACAAAACGAACCATGGGCATAGTTTTACTGTAGCCGCTAGAGGGGGCTCTCTACTGTACCTGTAGTGTATTAAAATGACCGAAAAACTTTTTTTAGTGCAATTTTTTGCTTTTTGAATAAAAAACTGATTCTTCGCACTTTTCTGCATAAAAAAGCTCTTCTGTGAGTTTTCGTTATAGTTAGCCCGTTTTTGAGATATTTCGATTTTTAAGGTTCGATGCATTTTTAATTACTTATGTGAAAATAATATTTTTTTATAATTTCGATTTGGGCATTACAAGTAATTAAGATGATCGTTTAGATTGTGTTTTTAAACACAGCAATAATTCCTAACTCCAAATAAACACAAAAAATAGAATATTAATTTGTTTAATTTTCCAATATTATTTTTAACAAATTAAATTAATTATTTACAACTAAAATGCTATTGGATAGTTAGGACAAACATACAAAATCTAAAGTAGTTGCTCGAAATGTAAACCCAATTGTTCAATACACGATTCACATCTACGAATGATGCATGTGATGAAATAAGGCCCTATTTCATCACATGCATTCCTGATTCTGTCTAGTAGCATATCTCTTGTGGTTACGGGAGTCTGGTACACTTTTCCTTTTAGAAATCCCCACACAAAGAAATCTAATGGATTTAGTTCAGCGGATCGTGGAGGCCAGGCGACTGGTCCTCCACGGCCGATCCATCTTTGTGGATAATTTTTGTCCACCCAGTTTCTAACTATTCTCGAATAATGAGCTGGACAACCATCAAGCTGGAACCAGGCTAATCTTCTTAAATCTAACATAACATCATCCCACATATTTGCATGTTCAGCCTTTAAAAATTCTCTCCACGTCTAGTGAAGCATGACTCATCGGTCCATAAAACGTTACTTAAAAACTCCCTATTATTAGCAGTTCTATCAAGAAACCACTGACCAAATGTGATTCTTCGTTCTCCGTCCCCTGGCTGTAGTCCTTGCACAAGTTGCAAATTGTAAGCACGTCTATGGTTATTTCTAAGAACACGGTGAACATGGCGTGCTGAAATTCCCAAGGCGCCAGAAACACTTGTTGTCGGATCTCTATCAAACTCACGCAGAATCATACGGGTAAATCTGCGCTGACGAACGTTTATGTTTTGACCCCTTTGGAGATATCCAAAACCATTTTTGAAATTGAAAGCAGAATAAGGTTAAACGTCAATTAGTTGACAGTTAGTTTTGTTGTCTGTTGAAACCTGAAACGTTTTTTTGCAATTGTGAATGCACGAAATTTAGTTTCTTTTACCTGTTTTTTTTTTGTAAGTTTTATAAAAATGCCATTTTTATTCTCCAATCAAGAGTTAGCGGATATTCATTTTGTGTATGGCTTTGTAAATGGAAATGCAGCAGAAGCAGCCAGAGAATACGCACGAAGATTTCCAAACAGACGACATCCAACTCGCTCAGTATTTGTAAGAGTGCATCGCCAAATAATTGAAAATGGTTTTGGAAATCTCCAAAGGGATCAAAACAAATATTCGTCAGCGCAAATTTACCCGTATGATTCTGCGTGAGTTGTTTGATAGAGATCCGACCACAAGTGTTAGGAGAGTTTCTGGTGCCTTGGGAATTTCAGCAAGCCATGTTCACCGTGTTCTTAGAAATGACCATAGACGTCCTTACCATTTGCAACCTGTGCAAGGACTACAGCCAGGGGACGGAGAACGAAGAATCATATTTTGTCAGTGGATTCTTGATAGAACTGATAATAATAGGGAGTTTTTAAGTAACGTTTTATGGACCGATGAGTCATGCTTCACTAGACGTGGAGTGGTAAATTTTCATAATCAACATATTTGGTCGCATGAAAATCCGCATGCAGTTCGGGAAAGAAATTTTCAGCATGAATTTAGTGTGAACGTGTGGATTGGTATCTACCGTAATCGACTATTTGGACCCTACCTTATGCCTGCAAGGTTGAATGCTGCGACCTTCTTGGAATTTTTAAAGGCTGAACATGCAAATATGTGGGATGATGTTATGTTAGATTTAAGAAGATTGGCCGGGTACCAGCTCTCATTATAGAGAATAGTTAGAAACTGGCTGGACGAAAATTATCCAGAAAGATGGATCGGCCGTGGAGGACCAGTCGCCTGGACTCCACGATCCCCTGACCTAAATCCATTAGATTTCTTTGTGTGGGGATTTCTAAAAGAAAAAGTGTACCAGACTCCCGTAACCACAAGAGATATGCTAATAGACAGAATCAGGAATGCATGTGATGAAATAAGGCCTTATTTGAATAATGCTATACCGCGTTCGATCACTCTGAATTGTGTATTGAACAATTGGGTTTACATTTCGAGGAACTACTTTAGATTTTGTATGTTTGTCCTAACTATCTAATAGCATTTTAGTTGTAAATAATTAATTTAATTTGTTAAAAATAATATTGGAAAATTAGACAAATTAATAACAGCTAACTATAACGAAAACTCACAGGAGAGCTTTTTTATGTTGAAAAGTGCGAAGAATCAGTTTCTTTATTCAAAAAGCAAAAAATTGCACTAAGAAAAAATTGTCGGTCATTTTAATACACTACAGGTACAGTAGAGCGCGCCCCCTAGCGGCTACAGTCAAACTATGCCCATGGTTCGTTTTGTCTTACCAAAAAAACCTTGTATACCATTTTTCACTGTTATACATCAAATACTGTTCCAAATATTTAAAAAAAAACTATTTTAGAAAGTAAATTTAAACACCCTGTATTTCGGAAGCCACGCATTTTTCGACCCATGTTTATATAGACGTTATGCATTAATTTTAAAAGTTCTATCGAATCTTAAAGTTATGCAACAATAAACTGAAACACCCTGTATACTGCATATTATAGCGGATGGTTGGATACGGATATTTAACTTTCATTCTTTGAGTGGTACCCTTAAATGACGTCCTACAAACAAATCTCTGATTTTGTTACAACGACCGCAAGAACTTAAAACACATCTGAACGTCAATGCTGAAGTAATTGACTACTGATTAGGTCTTATTAAATGGCATATGGTTGGGCTCAACGCTTCGCCCTCTTTTCAAATGCCCTGATACGGACAAACCAATCCCAAGTATGAAACCGGCAGCCCAAGAAAGCTTGCAGTACTGAAAATCGTATAAATAGGAATTATATTTTTTATCCGTTTTTGGTGTTCTAGACCACTGCATGACGTGCTGAACTATCGAGGTAGATAGTGTGGTTTTCTGATCTTAACTTTTCAGATGCCTAAGTAAATGTTGGCCAGCAAGGGGACGTGTATATTTTTGTTAGCGACAACAGAGAGATGAAATAAAGAGAAATGTTTGTTTTCACCTAGTGAGTACCCAATATAGTCTTAAAGATTGCAACATGATAGTTTAAATTTTTGGGATAAAGACTATGAGCATATTACTGAGTTTGCGAAACTAAACGAGAAAATCGAAAACAGTTCATCAAAAAACACAACCGAGTAGAAGCGCAGAATAATAAACTATACGAGAAAAAAACATTATTCTATTTGCATATTTACAGTCTAATGATTACCTTCAGTAATAAGTTTTCGAAGCTCAATTCAACGTCACTTTTGTGAGCGCTAAGCTGCTAATCCTCCTAATAAAGTTCTCCTGTCCCCTAACTGGTGAATTTTATAATTAACTTCTCAGTAATTGGTGTTAGCACAGGTCCGCTTGCTTCTGTACAAGTTTTGAATACAAATTTGGAATCTATTAAATCTACCCGAACGCCTCACTACGGATGAAGAAGTCATTTGGGTGACACCATTCCCCAACATTACTTGCTTGTTATAGCGTATCGTCGTTAAAGGGTAAGTCAATAGCTTATGGTACGGCCTAATTCAGGTCGTGTGGAATAACTTTAGTTTTTACTTCCTATATGCAACTGGCATTGGCGAGGAAGAATTGTAATCGCGAAAACTACGATAACGGAAAGTTACATTTTTTTGATGTTATATGACATGTACATGACGACAAACCATGTCTGTATTTTTGTCTGTCTGTCGGTCTATCGGTCGGTATGTCTGTTGCGCTGTCTACAGGGTGTTTCAGTTTATTGTTGCATAACTTTAAAATTCGATATAACTTTTAAAATTAATGCATATAGTCTATATAAACATGGGTCGCAAAATGCGTGGCTTCCGAAATACAGGGTGTTTAAATTTACTTTCTAAAATAGTTTTTTTTAAAGATTTCGAACAATATTTGATGTATAACAGTGAAAATTGGTATACAAGGGTTTTTTGGTACGACAAAATGAACCATGGGCATACTTTTACTGTAGCCGCTAGAGGGCGCTCTCTACTGTACCTGTAGTGTATTAGAATGACCGAATTTTTTTTCTAAGTGCAAC